AGTTCCTTTTTACGCACCATTGTCTTGGGTGTCCAGACATACACAGGCATCTAGTTCCTAAAATGCCCAGCACGACTGGAACGTCCAGGTAAACAGTAGTGGGGCGTAATGAGAGGTCACGGGGCCCCTCTTCAAATAGCTTCAACAAAACAAATGGCCAGAAGTAAAAAGTGTCTCTGTGCTTTGCTATAATAAGATTCAAACACAGGATTCCAAGAATTCCACCTGTTTCCAATTAGATACCAGAATTGCTTGAGTGTTTAAACTACATTCACTTGCTACTTATACAAAACAATTCTTCCGGGTTTTTTGAACGTTTTAAGTAATGTTAAAATAAGATTAAGGGTCTGGTTTAAACAATCAGAAGCAGGGGAATTTCAGTTGAAACCAAAACTCTCTCCCTGCAGCCATAATGCAGAGCTTCAGACCAAACAAGAGAAGACAAACCATTTCTATCTTTGACAATTACTTGTAAAAATCAGACCTTTCACAGGAAAAGCAATTATGTTTACACTTTTATACGATAAATGAACTATAAATAGGTTTTTAGGTAATTTCTAAAACAACGCAGGATCCTATATAGTAAAGTAACTTGAAGGTCAAGTTTGTGGTACAGGCCATCAGATACACCTGCCTTTTAAGTATGTGAAATTTACATGACGCCAAATGCATGAAGTGTGTAAAACAGGAGCACAGGTAGGAATTTGGCCTAGCTCTGTCCAATTTTTCATGTGATGAATTTCTCTTTTTACAAATGTGCCAGCTTCCCTCTAACAAATTTGTCCTTCCTTCATTTCACTGAGGATGTTCCTTGTGCTTTATAAATGAGCTGAAACGAATATAGATTTCCTACTTTGAGCCTTGTTTGGTCTCCTAAGACGGACAGGGAGCACAGCCTTTCGAGCAGTTCTGATTGTTGACTGCTACAGGTGGACCCGGAAGGGGGGGGCGGGCTGGTCAGGAAGCACAGACCAGCCCTTCTGCACAGCTCCTGCAGAAACCCTGCTGGGTCTGTTTTAATTGTACACAACAGGGCCGGAGTCTTTTTCAACAGCCATTAAAGGTTTCCATTGGCTCCCCAGACAACATTTTTAAGGTTAGCTCAATAGATTAGGAGAGAGTAATTCCTGAGGGGATTGGCAATTTGTCCCCTTGCCCTTCCAACTTCCTCAGGTAGCTAACTACTGGCAAGAGCTATGTGAAACTGGGGAAGGAGGCAAAGGGGGACTTGACGGACCCAACTGTATCAGGAGCTCTTGCATAACCCCATCCCTTCACTGCCTTGCACCTTTAAAAAAAAAAAAACTACACATAGTTTCACAGAGAGGAAAAAAACCTTTAATCCACTGACAATGACCCCCTCCCACACCCAATCTCAAAGACACCGATATTAAAAGAACCAAGAAAACAAAGACAGCAGCTGTGTAGAACTCCTTGATGATTTGTTTCCTCAGTTTCTAAAGGGTATTGAATGGGATACATATTGTAATCAAGATAATATACTTCTGGGGAACACTGCCATAACAGGAAAACGCAAATTAAAACCCATCAGAGAAACGGACTTTCAACAAAACTGGAATTATTTTCTGATTTTGAAAAAGAGGAAAAACGTTTCAAGGTTACTTTTGGGGAGACTCCTTAAAGGGGAGCACCAGTCATCACACAGGACTAACGCCCCCACGGGAAGCCAGTCACTGGCAGGCCCCATCCCCAAAAGCTTCGCTCACACACAGAGTTACATGAGCTTGTTTTAGAAAGTGTCCTCTTTTCAAACATGTATTTAAAAGGCAAATTTATACAATGGTGTTTTTCTTGTTACCCCAAAAAAAAAAAAAAAGCATGGTTTTTACAAGTCTGGGATAGGATAAAAAAACTTGTCCAACTAGTCTTAGCAACACCAAAGCACTGACACTTCCATACCACAAACCTTTGGGACTAAAAAGGAAACAAAACAGAGCTCAATCCTCAGAAGCTCTCCTCCTGCGCACTCAGTCCACATCCCAAGGCAGCTTCAAGACCAAGCAGAAGGACAAGAACTCAGGCCCCACTCACTGGGGCGCAGCAGAGGCATGGGAGGGGCTCAACTCTCTGGTCTCCAGCAAACCTGCAGAAGTCTCCAACCTGGGTCTGAGTCTAGTCTCTACCCTCAGGTGGCAGTGCCACAGCCCGCACGGGGCTCTGCAGGCAACCCGATCTCTGGGTCAGGGGCTCTGGAAAGATGAGAAGAGTCTGAAACTAATGAATTCTCTCTTCTCAAACTGCAGTCTCATTGGCTCACTTACTCTGTGGGAACAGAGATGACCTTAAACTGGATACCAACTCAAAAGGCCTCTACAGGGCCCAGAGAAAGAACCAGTTTAGCCTTATACTTGAACTCTGGCATTCCATAGCCAAATGAAGGTTCTCAGACCTGTGATGGAGTGGCAACAGGAAATGATCTAAGGCCAAATCTTTATCTACCACCCAAAGTCAATGGATGCTCCGTACAGAGAATGATAGTGATGCTTGCTCCCATAATCTGTTTTTTCAAGACCAATATCTTAAAGTTCATTCACGTAAACTGACAAGGAAACTTCCAATCCAATCCTGTAGTTACACAGTTAAACATCCTCATGATATCCTGAAGTAGCTAATCACCAGCCAGTCTGGGGTGTCAAAGAGTTCATAAAATCTAATACCTCTCTGGAAACCAAATCCATCTCCCATGGAGTTCTGCCAAGATGCTTAAAAAATAAACCTCACTGATGTTCGGCTAAATGTCCATTTAGGAAGACAAGGAAAAAAAATTAAGGTTTGTCTCTTCAAAACTCCACAACGGGTTTTACAGTAAACACAGGAATTAAATTATGGTAAAAGGGAGCTATTTTTACTAAAACAGGGTAGTCCAATTTATCAAAAATGCCATTCGGCTGTGTTCATTACATTCAGGAATCTAATTTACACAATAGACACTCTGGAGTAATCTATTTTAGTCAATAAATACTCAAACTCCTTTAAGTTTTAATCTTATCGAAAATACATATTTCACATAGTCTTCTTCCTAGTTAAGGGAGAAATTTGAAGAAATTTCATAACGACTATGAGTCTGCTTTATCGTTCTCACGTAGGCAGGAACAGAAAACAAGCATATACAATTAAAGTTGTCAGACTCCATTTATATATGTTTTAACCCAATCCGCTTCATTTCATTCGAAGCTGCATCTGGAGTTCATTTGCTTCCCTCCTAAAAGTATCGTAGGTCACTATCACCGGTCCTCCAGGTTATGAAAGTTCGGTCAAGTTTACCTTCCCGCACCCTCAGAGTTGGGCGCTGCGGCCGTCCCCTAAGGGACGCTGGGTGACCCCGGGAGCACCGGACGGCCCTGGGCCCTGGCGAGCCGCAGACCAACGTCCCCTCCCGCTCCCCCCCACGCAGCGCTCCCTAGGCTTCTGGCCCACACGCCGCTCACCTTCAACTTGGCTCCGGCTACGCACAACATCCACCTGGCAGAGTCCCGGGGCTGTCCAGGCGCCACGAGCGCGGAGCCGGCAGGTTCGGGGCGAACCCCGAGGGTGCGCCGCTCCTCTGGGTGGGGGGTGGCAGGCAGGAACGCGCCCCCTGGGCACCGCGGCGGCACCGGCGCCGGATGAGGAGCCCCCGCATGATCCCCCCACGGCGCCCCGGGCTCAGCGCGCGGACCGTGGCCCAGCACGCCACAGTCGAGGGGGACCCCCGGGGCTTTGCCTTCGAGAACCCGACCCGAGAAGGCATTTCGGAGAGGACCAGCCGCGCGCTCCATTGCCACCGCGGACCCTGCGGGGGGCGGGGGACGCCAGGGCCCCTGAGAAGAGGGCCAGAGCGGAGCGGGCGGGTCACTGAGGGCTGCGGGAGCCCTTGGGCTCGGGGCTAAGAGCCGCCGGGACAGGCGGCGGGGAGGAAGCGTCCCACACCCGGGCCAACGGCGCGCCGGGGCGCAGCGCAGGGCCTGCGCTCGGGGAAAGTTGCTGCCCTCCGCCCGCTCCGGCTCCCGCCGGGCGCTCCGACCCACGGGCTCCGCGCGCCGGGCGCCCGCCGCCCCTCACAAGTTTCCCCCAAGCGCCCCGACCGGGGTCTCTGGCCGCGGAGGGGCCGGTCCGCGCCACTCGTACAGGCACACAAAAGAGCGGGGCGGCTGCGGGTGGCCCCGGAGCGCCCGCCCGGACGTAAACAAACCCCAGGGTCCGCTCGGAGAGCCCAACGCCGGGTGCGGGAGCGGCGGCGCGGCCCCGGCCAGCTGACAGCCCGGCGCGGCGGCCGGGGCCCGGACCGGCCGGGGCCGGGG